AAACGCAAAATATTCACTCGGCAGCATACCTTTTTGAAAAAACAATAAAAAGTAAAAAAACTTACATGACAATTTGACTCTGACATTGAATCTTCTGCTGCCTCTTCCTTTTCGGGATTCCTAATAAGAAGAAAATTTAGTAATAATATGTTCTAGAAAACTGTTACGATTAACTTTACTGAGATGGCATTAACTTTGTTTACGGTGGGGCTTCAAGAAACGAGCTACGAATTTTCAAAGTTAAGAGTAAGCAACCTTTGTACGTTTTGCCTCGTGATACGAGAAAACATCTAGTTAGGACTTTGCAAACAAATTAATTGGTTTATAGTCGTTTTTAATGTTGTGAAATATATTAAACTCATATCCCGAAGCCCCACCGTATTAGCTGACACAAAGCCAAGACAGTTTAGTTATTTATAGAGAAAAGTCTAGCTAGTTAACTAGTTAAATAACCATTTCATATTTATGCTCTGTTCGCTGTCTGCGGAAGTAAGTGATGGCAGCTTTGTGTTAGCATGTAAACCGTTTAGTTTCCATGTGGGTTTGGCCAAATGGCTGTGATTGGCTGCATGGCTGTCTAGAGCAGTGGTTCTCAAACTTTTTATACTCTGTACCACCTGAGAAAAAATTGAGCTCTCTGAGTACCACTGATGACCAACATTAGAATATAGCAAAAGCAGCCCACACAGGAGAGATGTTTATGTTTAAATGTTGTATTAATTTTGCATATGTTTCAGATTTATTCAATTCAAGATGTAAATGTGAAAATATGAATTTTCCACGCTTACCACTAGAGAGCGCTCGTGTACCACTGGTAGTACGGGTACCACAGTTTGAGAACCACTGGTCTAGAGGACTGAGGTGCGCTCCATTTCTGTATGCCGGTACACATTAAAAATAAGTGGGGGGGATGAAATCACCTTGTTGAAAAAGCGCGGGAGTCCGAACACTTGTCCTGCCATTCCTAACCCAAGGTTTGTCTGTAAGATTCGGTTTCTTCATCATTTCACAGCACGGTAACCAGTTTTTAAACTTACTGTGGCTGGGACTGAAGCTTACCGATGTCTTTCGCAAAGGCCCAGCAGATATAGACTCAGTGACTCACACTGAGTTTAAATTATCTGAAGTTTTTTTTATAGGACACTGAGTCAGCTTTGGTATGATGAACAGACATGGGACACAGGAGAGTGTTATTTTTTTTAGAGGTAACTCTACGGGGTACTGTCGTTTTATGTTGTTATTTTTCATATTTTTTTCTGAATTTTAACCATAAAAATGTATGCATTTTTAGGCAAACTAAAGCAGTTTATTCTATTTTGACAAACTTATTTTTGCAGAGCTTTTTAGAAAATATTACTGTTATCAATGGTTGATGTATAATAAACTAAAATAAATGTTTGTTTTTTTTCCAGAATTTTAACCATAAAGGATATAGTAATGTATACAAAGATTTAAAAGTAGTTTATATTGTTAAACTGTATTTCTGTTATGAAGAAAATACTTGAAGCACAGTATATTATTATTAAAAGATTTTTTGTAAGTACTTGGCTGTAGTTTTTGCTTGTGAAACCCACATAGAAAATAAGCATTTTTGCATATATTTTTTCAACATGATACTTTTTTAAAACACTTACAATTGATTACAGGATTTATGGATTAGCGTTTCTGTCTTTGACAGTGCCATAAAAAAAAAAAAACAGGTTTGTGGGTTTTGTGTTTGCCTACGTACCGTTATGGTTTGAAGATAACGTCCAGAAAACACAAGTCGTGGACAGAAAATCTGTTTTTTCTGGGCAGTTCGTGGACGTAGTTAACAGTTGGATTCATTAGGTGGAGAAAAATAAATGTGGTCAGTGAGCGTCCACTGCGGGGGATGTGTGTAGAGTGGCTCGGTTGCACCCTGATGCTAGGCTCTGCAGGAGTGCTAATTACTGAAGATATCCTCCTCTCCTTGACGATGAGGTGACCTTCAACACTGTTGCGGTAACCACAAGGCTGTCTGGCTCGCATATGCTTTAGACACACACACACAAAACAAGAAAAAATGACTTGGTGATTCAAAGTAAAAGTAGATGCAGAATGCAGAAATGTGATGACTATTTAGTATTCATTTACGAACCGAGCTATTCAATTGCAAATCAACATCAATCCCTTAAAACTATTCAAATTGATTGACACAGGAAGAGAGGCAGCGCAAACCAGTGAACAATGATGGAATACTTTTGCAATATCCCATTATTTGTTCTGCACTGGAGGCAGATTATAAAGTGTTTTGACAGTCTCCACTTTAAAAAAGAGAGGCTGTTTGCAGGGAAGTGCTGTGAATGCTGGGTGAATAATCAGATATCTCCTTCTGAGCGATGGAACAAAGGAGTATTTTATCAGTTTTTACAATCAATAAATCCTAAGAATAGAATACATTTGTTCTTTTGAAGTTTAAGACTTTAATGAGTAAAATGCTGAGAACTCCAGTGGGATTCTCACTGCTCAGTGATGAGCAGCTGAACGCTCCCTGAGAACCATTGTTTTTAAATGGATTTAGTACAATAGTAATTTACTAAATATACTACAGACGTGTGCACGAATCTTCCACTAATAAATTCAGAGTTTTTTAAAAAGAAAATAAATGTTATACCCCTTGTGTGTGTCATTGGATTTTACTGTCAGCCAGGCTTCATATTTAAGGTTGAACGTATTTAATTTCAGGGGAAAAAAAAGAGTCAAGTTTATTTTTGTCGATAGACTTAAAATTGAGATAGAGAGAGTTGGAATTAAATTTTAAAATATCCTCCTAAAAATATATTTAACAAGGAATAAACAGAGAAACGGAGTACAACCAGTGTATTAAAAGTACAAAAAACAGAGAAACGGAGTACAACCAGTGTACTTTTGTACTAAAAGTACAAAGCAAAGCAGAATGAGGTTCATAAATGCTATTGAAAACCTTGAAAAAAATATTTAATCATATCTTCCTGTCTTATGAGGTTCATAAATGCTATTGAAAACCAATATTTAATCACAGAGGAAAGAAAAACACCCCTTAAAACAGGAAGATATGGCTCAGTTCTGCTATCTGCCTCTAGGGGAGCTTTAATATGTTAAGTCGTTCATTTTTTATTTTATTATTTTGTATAAAAGGTTTGAGGTCAGCTAATCTTTGGGTTACAGAAAAAGAAGATGCATGAATTAGATAGATGGATGAATGGATGGATGGATGGATGGATAGATAGACAGACAGAAAGATAGATTACATAAGACACTTGAGCTATGACTTACTTTTTCTCCACTCTAATGTAACTGTGACTCTGTGAGTCGGCCACTGTTATTTACAGCTGAGAGAAATGAGCGGATTCAGCCTCGTGGAACAGGTGGCTGTTGAAGCTGTCGCAACGAGCAGAGAGAGCCGGGGTGTAGACGCTGTAAGATCGGCAAATGAGTTTGACAGCTTAAATAGGCCACCCAAATGGTAGTTGGCAGTGTGCAGGCTCAGCTGACACATGAGATGACTCAGGATCAACCTTCAGTTGGCCACCTCAGCCACTGCCATGTTTCTGTTAAACCACAAAGGAGGAATGAAGGGATCATGTAACTGCACGTGGCTTGAGAAAAAAAAAAAAAAAGAGAGAGAGAGGGAGAAAGAGAATGTTAATGATTGTTCATGCAACCTAATTAGATGTCAAGCATTACCAGTAATATCACAACATTGTTACCTATAAATAACAGAAAATGTCCGTCTTTTTGCCCCTTGTTTTTATGCTCAAAAGTACATTAGATAAATCTTCATATTTAGTGAAATATAATTTTACAAAACATTTCCTGAACATGAACTGTATGTATTTTTTTATTGTCAAAATCAAGAATATATTAGCCGGATTGATACCCCAAGTGGGCCGGTTTTGGCCCACAGACCGTATGTTGGACACCCATGACTTAAATGATCTAAAATTTGTTGTGTTTTTGTAAATGTACAGTATAAGGCTGTATAACCAGCAGCTTTAAAGAGAGCTGACATCTGCACTGAGGCATTTTTTGAAAAAAAAAAAAAAACCTCGGAAGCCACACAGGGCTGCAGCAAAGACAAAGAAGTTTCAGTGAGAAAATATCTGGGAATTTGCTGACTTGGCGGACGTGCCGTCTTCGGCCTGTCCTGGGGAAACAAATGAGTCCAAAGCAGAAACATCTAAAAAAACAAAAAAAAAACAGATCTTTTTGATCATCAATTCCTCTCATATAATTGGTGGAAATTCAAATAATCTTTTTTAGGCTTTTCCTCCCACGCCTATAGCATAATATAACTTGCAGGCTCAGGTTATTTAGACACAGGTGTAGATTAACCCAGTGATTCCCAACCACTGGGGCGTGGCACACTAGTGTACCGTGAGAGTTCATCAGGTGTGCCTCAGAAAATTATACAATTTGGTCTAAAAGAAATATCGCAAATATTTTTTCTTTTTTTTGTCAATGCGTGAGAGGCAAAGCAATTAAATACTCGTCCACTAGGTGGCAGCAAATGGCTATGAAAACTAAAAAAAAATTTTTTTTTAAAAGAGAATCACAGCTGTTGAAGAAGATCTTTGTGAGCGTCTTTCTTCAATTCCTGCCAGTATATCAGCGTCGTTTTCAACTAAACAGGGCGAGGTTTTAGTGAATTGAGAGTATATTTTAACTGGAAGGTTATTATATTTTATTACATATACTTTTTGTCAGATTTTTGTTTGGGGGTGTGTCGTGGGGTTTTCTAATGAAAAATATGTGCCGCGGTTGGGAAACACTGGATTAACCAAACAATCACAACAGAAGACAAAAAACAACAACATAATGAATCACCTGTGTCTCTTCTTTTCCGCCTCCCCCATCATCTTATCATACTATCTGACACCTCCCCTCCCCTCCTTTCCCTTTCTTTTCCATCCCCCTTCTCGTCTCCTCCTATTTCTCTGTCATTTAATACAAGGAAGCCTGTGACAATAGCCGCTGGGAAGGAGCTGCAGATCAATTTTGCACTCTGCTGCTGAATGCTGTCCTCGTGCTGGGGGAGGGGGTCAGCCCCCACTTCTAGTACGTGACACAACACTTCACTGAGAGCCTACAGAGCTCACATTATTGAGGGATCTAAAAGGAATTTTCTTTAACCCTTCAGCCTCGGCCCACATTCCTTTAAACACTGTATCGGTGCGTCGGTGAAATGACTCTTCAATAATGATTAAGTTTCCCGTGATCTTATTGGTGAGGATTCTCAGGAGCCCGTTTAATGATCCAGGCGAACAGTAAAAAAAAACCAAAATAATCTCCTTCTCATGCTCAATGGCAGCTGACACTTAACCTGCAGTTAAGATACTTAGAAGACAAAAGGATACGAGCGAGGTTATTCACATTACTGTTAGCTCTTTGTGCTGCATGAAATGTGTTGCGGTCTCACATAATGTGGCAGAGGTCGTTAGCATCTCTGATTAACGAGGAAGATTGAAGTGGGTCGTGGAAAAGTGCTGGTCTCAACAACAACCAGTAATTAAAACGACGGGATAATAAACAGAGGGACAGTGGTTTACGAGATGGAAAAAAATATGTTCGTATTTTTTCTGGCAATTTGACATGTACATATATTTTTTTAGAAAATGAAGTAATGTAAGATACATTAATATATAATGTATTAATATATTTAGTGCAAAAAAATGTAATCTATATTCCCAAATGTAATCCCATATTTAAACAACAGAGTTGTTTGTATTAATATATTTAGTGCAAAAAAATTTTTTTTTTTAATCTATCCCATATTTAAACAACAGAGTCGATCCAAAGTACTTTACAGGACACCATTAGGAATATGGTGGTTTCGCTGGGAATCAAACCCAGGACTCTTTCCTCTCTGCCTTCAAGGCAAGCATGCTAACTGCTACAACATGGAACCTCTATTACAACTTCATTAATAAATTCTTAAATTCTTGTGTTATCGTCAGCAACAGGCTGCCCCTAGAGGCGCCTCTCTGCCTTCAAGGCAAGCATGCTAACTGCGCAACGTACGAGTATTCCAAGATACGAGCAAGACTTCGAGCAAATTTTTGCTTTGAGATACGAGTTAATATTCGAGATACCAGCACGCTTACAGACGCCGACGCTAGGTGGCTGAGCACTCGGAGCAGCCCCAGGCCCACGACTTCCATACGCATCGCTTCCGTACGTAGAGTTATCTAGAAACGCATGATGACCAATGGAAATAAAGCAAGAAATTGTCGATAAATATGAGCGTGGTGCCCGCTGAAAAAAATAATACAAATCTAAAAAAAAAATTGAAAAAATTGAAAAGTAAAAAGTACTGGCCTTTTAAAAAAAAATTATGAAAAAAGTTTTTTAAAAATTTTTAAAAATTAAATAAACTGTAATTGGTGAGTCATTGGATAAGAGATCTGATCATAACGGGACCAACCTGGTTTAATTACATTTATTACATTTAATTAAAATTTTAATTTTAATTAATTTTAATTTTTAATTAAATTTTATTTAAAGGTTAAATAACATATTTAAAAATAAAAATCAATACAAGTTGTGTCATGTACTGCACTAAAACATCTGAAATGTATGTTTAAAAAATACACCAAAAATATATCTGGCTACAAAATGGAGACGTGAGCTGAGGAGAGATGAAAGAGTGATACCATGAATAATAACAGAGGGAAAGGTTAGTGGTCCAACACAGCCACATGACACCTAATTAGTCACTCTCACTGGGGTTGGAAGCGGTGTTTGTGTGTGTGTGTGTTTGTGTGAATGTGTCTCAGTGTGAAAGCCACTTTGCTCTGAGTGAGGACATCCGGTGTCGGAGGAAGACCTTTGGATTAACTAACCGCCTCCACGGGGTGCCAGGATGTAAATATTAACAGGCTTGCACATTCAGATGTGTCTGCACACACGCACTCACTCTAGGGATGGTTCCACAGCAGGATTCTTGATTTGATACGATAACAATTACTTTTTGACAATTATTTTTTATACTGATATCGATACTTTGTGTGATTTTTTTTTTTACCCAAATAGTGGCCTTTTAGCAACTGTAATATATATTTTTCATAGTATATTAGTCATCAGTTTGAATATCGATACTTTGTGTGATTTTTTTTTACCCAACTGCTACCATTAAGGGACAAACAAAAAAAAAAAAAATGGGGAAAAGCCGGACCAGCACAGTCATAACATAAAAAACTTTTTCCTCCTTGTCTTCATGCAAATAAGTACAAGTATATGAGATATTTATTTTTATTATTATTTATTTATATTTACTGAAATATAATTTTACAACAAATATCCCAAATATGAAGTGTTTGTTTATTTTTAAATTTTTTTAATTAATCAAGCGGGCCGGATTGAACACCCTAGCGACCCGGTTTTGGCCCACGGGCCCCTGACACCCCGCTATAAACCAAGAAACCCGTTCTCAGCGAGTGCAATTTTACAGTTAGCTAACAAGCTAATTTGGCAAGAATATTTAAAAATCATACAGCAATTAAGATAATTGGCTACCAATGCTAACATGCTAACACACCAAATACGGCTTCACCCAAATAAAGTGAAAGAAAGTTCAGACAGGAGCTTGACGAATCCAAAAATCCAAAAACAATAATCGATGGCTATGATTTTTCGTGGACGCCTCTTTGGTATCAAACACGTCTGCCTCCAACAGCCTCAAATATTTCATCACTTCGACCTCATGGGGATGAAACTCCAAATTATAATCATTCATTTTTTTGTGGAGACGCCCCCCGCTGCGGCAGCAGCTAAAAATGGCAGAGAAGGTAACTGATGCGAGAAGCAGTAGACGGCACACGGCGGGTTGCTAAGGTAGCGCATGTAGGAGGTTTCAGTGACAAGAATTGTAATGCAAAAATAAATGAGAAAGTCTAAATTGAGACCAAAAGGGGGAAGAAATCAGTAGCCACGAGCACGCATCGCTCTACCTACCACTAAGACTTGCTCCTGAATGCATCATCTGCTGAATGCTAAACAGTGGGCTCAAGGCCTTTTTTTTTTAATCTGCTGTGTCCTTGTCCAGGCGAAACGCTCTGTACCACAGGATCAGAAAAGTCTGCACTACAGAAGACTGTTAGAGCTGAAGCGTAGAAAAGAATTAACAGAATTTCGAGCAGCTGCATACGTATTTTATTTCTCTATTGTGTATTTTACCAGTATTTTTATGTATTCTTTACCTTGACTTGTTTCCACTTCGCTCCGGGGCAAGCGCCACACAAGAATTCCTATGTGGGTGAACTGTCTAGTTTTGCGCTTAAATTGCCAAAAACAAACCTTGAACCTTGAATCTTGAATCTCATACAGTTAAGAATACAATTAGTAAGGGCTCAGACCGGGTTAGCAGTATCAATAATTAATACTTTCAGGTGTGTGTATGTTTATTTGTGTATTTATTATTTAGTATTGCAGTGCTTCCGGGAATAGCAGTTAGCATGCCTGTCTTGAAAGTGGAGAGTAGGAAGTCCTGCGTTCAATTCCCAGAGGAGCCACATATCCCTGACCTAGTTGGCGAGTAGCGCGGACAAATACATCGTCACATATCGCTATATGCGGAAGACGGTTTTGTTATACAAAATACATTGATTGGTGTTTTTTGGGAACTTTTTTTTTGCCCTTCATTATGGCTCCCAGGCGTCACTCAGACTCTTCTGATGTTTTTTGTTCTATATAATGATGTTAGCATTGCGTTAGCATTGCGTTAGCGTCAGTGAGTGACATAGGTACTGATGTAAAGAGAGTGAGTTACAACTTACAAAAATCCAGTTACATCTTGGCCGGAGGAATAGAACTCTGACGTCTCAAGTCGTGGACCTCCTGTAACGGACAAATCACAGAAATCATTTAAAAAAAAAAACATTTGGATTTTTTTTTTTAACACAGAATTTCCACATGTTCATATTGTTCCTGTTAAAGTGCTGCCTGAGTTGAGTGTCCGGAAGTCATTGTAACAATTTCACCTAGCTGTTCATTTGATGTAAATTATGTGCTGCAGCTCCTCTGTTTTACCACAAGGGGTCATATCAGTGCTCCCCAACCTTTTTTTGTATTTATTCTGTTAGCATCGAGAGTCTGAATGAACTTTCTGTCTTGAAACATTGATGAATTTTTTTTTTAAGAAAGAAGTCAATTAGTAAAACTGAAGTACATCCTGCCCCGTACCACATGACTTGTGGACCGGAACTGGTCCCCGAACCGGGGGTTGAGGACACTTGATTTAAGCAATATCTAAAAGATGATGGGTTCACTTCTGTGAGCAAACAGCTCACATCTTCACACATACAGCAACTTTAATGGTGCTGTCCGTGGTGCTGAATGTTGTGTATTTAGGCAACCGCTCGTGCTTTGTACTATTTTTGCCATTCACCTACTCACTCTCACTTATACAGCACTTTTTTTTTCTACCACACATTCAGCATTCCCAGTCACACACTGCCAGCACTGAATGCCAGGAACTGCTCTGGGACACATTAGCATGCTAACTAATTAAGCCAAAGCTTCTCATTGGAAAACAACTTCTATACTGCTGTACTGAGTGATGACTGAGAGGCAAACGCACTCAAACAGTTCTGTGCTTATATATTTATATAACATAAATTCCTGCATTAAAATAACTGGTTAACAGTACACAGTGTGATCTTGTGGCTAGTTCTTTGAGCACGAGAATGAGATCCTTTTCCGATCAAACATTTTGATTAAAAATTAAAAAAAAAAAACACAGCCCAAAAAAAAGATAAAAAATATAAAATGAATGGATTGAATAGAATCTATAAAAAAAAAATGTTTTTGCTCTTTAACAAAAATCAAGATTATAAAACTATTGTTTTCATTTTGATTATTTTAATAGATAACAAAAACAATAATAATAGTTGGTAGTAATAATAATAATAATTATAATAATAATTATTATTACTATTATAAATACAGACCAGCTTTTATCCTCATTTTGAAAAGTTTATTCCCTTCATCCTAAAGTAGTGGTTCCTAACCTTTTTTTTTTTTGGGCTTGTGACCCTATTTGGACATCGCAAATTTCTGCCGACCCCTGGAATTACATTTTTAATCGTGTTTGTTGTATTGTGTTGCAAATACAGTAGCCAGATTAGTACACACAAAGTGTGTGTGCGGAGTTTTTAAACAAACATTTTAAACATTTTTGAACATTTTTTGTTAGACATTGTCAACTACATTTCAAGCGATGCTATTTGAATTCCAGGTAACCCCTTTGAACATTTTTTGTTAGACATTGTCAACTACATTTCAAGCGATGCTATTTGAATTCCAGGTAACCCCTAGTGGGGTCACGACCCGGATGTTTAAACTGTTCTAAAGGGTTATTTAACACAAGCACAAAGATATTTTTTATGAGAAGGAGCAGAATGATTTTTCAGCACCGTCATATCAGTGATTAGTTGACGCGCCAGAACGTGGAGCTCAGGCGTCTCTGCTGCTTCCTGCCTGTTCCTATATTATGCTTAGCTCAATAAAAATAAAACTGACGGTAAACAAATGGCCTGTGTGGGTTTACGTGCAGCGTATAACCCCCACATATATCCTTAACTGCACTGTCAGTGGAAGCACTGACGTTTCAAAGCCAACCATAAGCTTCTGTTATTGTGCTGCAGTTAACAGTCGGAGATGTGCACACTGCAGAATATCTGATAGCTGCTTCACGTACCGTATGTATTATAGTGCCATCTCTGGCAATTTAAGCCTGTTTTATGACGGTGTGGGCCCACTCTGAGTGCCGCGCTGCCTGAGTGTCTGTGTGACAGTGATAAAGACGAGGACGTGGCATCGCTCTTCCTAACCGCGGGTAACAGTCATGTAGAAACGAGTCGTTGTTTTTAATGGTAGGCCTATCTTTAGGCGACGGTGCTCGTTTGTTAGTGGTGACAATTGTTAACATTGGTTATAATTAATTCTTCCCATATCCGTAACAGTTAACTCCTTCCTAACACATGAACCCTGAACATTATGAACGATAAACAAGCCTCAAGCCACTAGATGGCAGCATTGCAGCTTATTGTATTAATCTATATTGATAATCAGGGGGTCGTATGCAGAATGCTGGTGCCAGCAACTCTTACAGAGGTTTGTACGGATAAATAAATAAATATTACCAGGTGCTCAATAGTCTTTTAATTCTGTCCACTAGGGGGCAGAAAATAATTGGTGGTTTTTTTGTTCATAAAATACCATCTCAATATGTCAGAGCACAGTCACCGAGAGCTATTTAACAGTCTGGCTGACTGACACGACTGTCAGGTGGATTGTGGGGGACTGTAGACAGATGGATGTTGTTGAGGACAATGTCTTCAACAAGGTTTAAAAAGAAAAAAATCGCAAATCCTGACGCTTTCCACAAAACACTGTCAAAATGCACAGTAACGACTGAGGTCCACCAACATCTGAATTATTTTTTGGGAAAATTTTCCTTATTAATAATTGATTTAGTCCAATGGTTGTCAATTATCTTCTGTCATGCCCCCCCTTGTGGACAGAAATGTTTTCATGCCAACTCCCTGACCCACACCCCCACAAATTGAAATACTATTGAGAACCTAATAACATGTATATTTTTTAACTGTACAAACTACTGTATGTGTTGCTGCCCCCTAGTGACTGGAGGCTTATTATCATTCAAGCATTACCTCAGTGGTACACCTATGTCCATATGCGTGCCATATTCCGTTGGACACCCCACCAGAGGGGCCCGCCCCACTATTTGAGAAGCACTGATTTAGTCACAGGCCCGCCCCGTCATATTTAAAAATGCCAAATTATCTGGATGATTAATCGTGATTAATCAACAGCTACAACAGATTTTAGCCATTTGACAGAAATACATTCAGTTTTATTCTTAAACTCAAATTTACAAAATCTCGTAATTTTCCTATTATTCTCGATGTTTTAATTATTATTAATAATTTAAAAAAAAAAAACAGTTTCATGCATTTAGACGACATGACACCATAGAGTCGAAGCCTCCATTTAAGGTCGCTGTTTGGCTTTAAATTTCTGGACCTCCCGCTGAGAATGACCGCTGAGTCAGTGTATGGTCAGACCCAACTCTCCTTCTCCTGCAGAGTCGCATTTATAGGATGAGCCGACTGTCCACACTGTCCTCTCAGACAACATCACTGTCAGCACACAGTGACTACTTTACAGGCTGTATATATCGCGCCTCCAGAATAATGGGCACCACAGCGCCTCGTGTATTGTTGCCTTGACATTTATGCTACAGCCCTGAGCAAAGAAAGTAAAATACCAAGTGTTACACAAAGGACCGGCCTGAATTAATTAACTGTACCAGCAGAGGGCAAGCTATTTTTATCTGCGTTTTTTTTTTTTTTTCGGCCTTAGTGTTGACCGTTAGATTTGAAGATATTTCATCAAGACTGTATAAAGATTTGAGATACGAGCACGCTTACAGACACCGACGCTAGGTGGACGAGCACTCGGAGCAGCCTACGTCGCCTCACTCGTTCGCTTCACATGTTCGCCCGCTAAAGAAAATACAAATCAAAAAAAGTAACCCAAGTTAAGTTAATTCTAAGTTTTTGTAAGATACATAGTGTATATGTAAGGTACGGTACGAAATCAAGTGTCTACGTATGGGCCAAATCTCTTCCCCCCTCCTCCACACATGCCACCATTAGCCGCTACTGTATCGTCTGTCTCGAAGGTAAGAACTCACATTTAAAACCACATTTTATTTTATATCACATGAATCCTTATATACTATAAGTTTTGTGTGTGTGTATATGTCTCTATAGCAACTAAAAACATGTATTTTCCATTGTTATTAGCACTAATAGGGGAGTTTTTTTTAGAGGGCCAGAACGGATTAATTATGTTTCTGTTATTTCTTATGGGAAAAAATGATTTGAGATACGAACACCTTGAGTTACGGGCTCTGTACTGGAATGAATTATGCTGGTATCTCAAGGTATTACTGTTACTGTTATTCTTACTGTATGACCTATTATGACTATAACTGTACATTTTCTATTTATTATTTATTATTATGTATGTATTTTTGTATTTTGTATGTTTACTGTAGCTTCATTGTTGACTGAATGACTCAAATTGTAAGTCGCTTTGGCTAAAAGCATCTAAAAGTACTGTAATGTCATGTAATCTAGGAAGCAGAGATCTACACTCGCATTACTACTGTATGTATGCGGTCTGTATATTCATGCACAGTGATTGGTTACTCGGTGATATAATCAGAATAATCTCCCGGGAAGCTGGGGTAAAAAAATGAACATGATGTCGTTAGTACCCCCGTATACACAGTAACCCTGCATACGTTTTTTCAAAACAAACAACAAACACCTTTCCAGCCCGAGGGGATTTCATCTGCATCTATACTGTGTAGGAGCTCAGTCGGCAGAAAGGTTCAAATCATTTTGGCATCTTAATGTGATCGTATTAAACAATCCCTAACTGCAGCCTTGTAACAGTCATTAGTTCCTGGAGTTCACCTGGAGAACATCGCCACGGGACTTTTACTGACATGATGGGGTTTTCCTTAGCAGAATCCCCCACCCCCACTCCCCTCCAAACTGCAGTATAAAGTTATAGTAATTTATCACCTTTTTCATTGGCTGGCACATTAACATCTAATCATTATAAGAAGAAACAAATGTATGTCTGGTTTACATTGTGCTCCACACGGTTGATGAGATCACATGACTTCTCCGTATCACCCTCTCCCTGATACACTGAATCACCTCACGTCACACGACGGATACATTAACGCTAACCAAACATCGGGGATTTCCCCACACGGATGTACGCGCTGTGCATTGCAGAGCATTTCAAGATGCACTGCAATGAATCATGTAATGCCCTGAGCATTGTAGCCACGGCTGTACGCCTGTTCATTTGCATTGGAATTTCACTGCTTAGCAAAAAGGGTATTAAGTCAATGTAAAAAATAAATAAATATATATACACATATATATATATATACACATGTATATATGTATATATATATATACGTATATATACATATATACGTATACATACAGTATATATACATATATACGTATACATATATATGTATATATATATATATATTTAAGCAGTTAAATTTCAATGCAAATGAACAGGCGTACAGCCCTAATGTGTGTGTGTGTATATATATATATACATATATATATACATATATACATATATCTATACATATATACACACATATATACACATTTCTCAAAATTAATAAATATGAAAAAGGGGAAATCAGAATATTAAATAGTTTAGTTATAATGTTTATATTTTTCCATATTATTTCCATCATTGTGGATTATCCATACATTATAAGAAGTGTTTTTTTAAAATATATATTTAGGAATGTTAATTTATCTGGATTAACTCTGATTAATCATACTTATTTATGATCACAACTACTTGTGATTAATTGAATTACCCCCCTAATTAATCAGAAATTTTTACACTTCTTACAGAATCCAGAAAAACAGAAACCGGACGTTCTTATTGGCTAATGCTACTTTGCATCAGTGAAGCAGTGAAGGTAAAGCAGTTTGTTACCTTGAGCAGGCTGCCAGGGTGAACCAGGTCATGTAACTTTGTCATGATCCCTAAATCTTCACAAAGTTACGTCTCCTACCAAAGTTACGTCCTTGGGGGACTCCAGCTGGAAGGACCAAAAAAAAAAAAAAAATTAATTAAAAAAAAATCACAGATCATCAGTTATGTTAACGAAGCATAGTAGACTGCATTTTATTTTTTCATCAATTTCTTACATCTTTATCTGTAAAAGGGGCTCATATATTATACATTATATTATTTGCTAATTTTGCTAACGTAGATATCAATTAATGCAGACAGAAAATATCCATTCCTGGTTTTTTTTTTTCAACCAATCAGACACTCAACTACTGTAGGCATGTTGTGTATTTAAATTCATATTATTTATTATTCATTTTTTCCTGCTGTTTTTTTATTTTTAAATCCCTAGCTGTGCATGTATTCTTTTCTTCTACCGACACTCTCAGCTTAAAAAGGGTTGTCCAAGAGAGGAGCCAACCTTCAGGCACCAGACGTGTTTTTTCAAAATCCACAAAGTTTTTACAACTAACAAGACAGCTTTCCTCCACACCTAGAGTAGAAACAAAAACACACCGACAACCAGTCTGCATTCTGGAGATAAGAGTCCCTCCAGGAAAAACACCAGGAGCATGTTTTTATTTTTATTTTTATTTTTACTGAAGTTTTCTGATTACAGGAAAGTGACTGGAGTTTGTTTTTCCAAAGTCAGCATTCATCTGGATAAAGGACTCACCAAACAGAAGGCAGAGACTGAATCATCCCTAAGACGTGTGTATGTGTGTGTGTTCCTGGGTCATTGGTTTTCATTTTCATGCAACAGCCTGACAAATGAAGCAGATGTCAAACAGCGTGACACCGTTTTCCACACAGGAAGTTCCAGATGCTCAGCACCCTTCAGTGGCTCATATTGATCAGAGAGATGTTTCCGAAACAACAGTTTAGAAATCTGAAAGGTTCAAATAACAACATGTATATATATATATATATATATATACACTATACTTGTTGGCGGGCCAGATTTTTCGCAACATTATTATTATTTGATGCATATGTTGATATATATATTTTTTTATTTTAGCCTTTAATAGTGGGGACCAAATGACATTTTCACAATTTTTTTAATTTTAGCCCCTGTCCAATCCAGCCTGCTTCAAACTCACCGTCGTCCAGTGGCGCTATACGCAGAGGACGCTTTGTTTACATTCGCTGGTTATACAACATACACTGAATTGTGCTACATTCACTTTTTTGGGGGGTGGTGGGTTTTTTTGCCCTTCATTATTAGCTCCCAGGCAAAAACAGACTTTTTATGTCCTAGATCAGGCAAACTAAGGCCTGAGGGCCCGACGCAGCCCGTTAAGATTTTTAATCTGGTCCACTATACTTTTCCAAATTTTTTCCTGCAATACCCACGTTTTCCCAATAGATGGTGTAGAAAATGCTAAAAGCATTTTAGCATTTATCGTAGTTTTCTTTGTTATAAAGGTACTTCAGTTCTCTGGGTAATTCTAAGTAGTACACTGCAACTGAGTTATACGTCTTAACTACAAGTGGTGCTTCTCTACTTGTGATCAAGTGGTTGACATGGAGGAATCACTCTTCTGCTTCTTCTCCTCTGTGATGAACCAGCAGAGCTGAGGATCACTCACAGAGTTATGATACCCTTTAAAGGTTAACTGCAGCTGTTAAAGGTCTCCGTCGACGTTTTTATTTAGAGATTCACAGTAATCAATAAATTAGCATCATGTTTGTTCAGGATTTGCCGTGATCACAACGTGGTTCTTGGAAACTGCGCGCGTATCATAACAGAGATGGCATTTGCGCGCGGCTATGGATTGATGTGTTTGAGGTGAGTGTGAATACGCCCTGCGACGGTGAGCTGTTGTTGTACGTACATACTGTACGAATGATGGGATTCTATCCCGCAGAAACTCTTACCTTAAACCATGTTAACGTGGCTGCAAGTATTTCATTTTTTATTAGTGACAGAGCATGTTGTGAGACTAATGGACCGATCTAATGAGACTTACACTTGATGGATGTTGGTAATGGGGATTTCTCTGTCACTACAACATGAAAACTGTACATAAAAACATGCGTACTACACTTGAAGACGTATTTGACTAAGACACAGCCTCCACACTGATGTCAGTGAGTGACATTCACCAGATCAAAGAAAGGTCAGATGGGATAAGAAAACATCAGTGGGTGGTGGGCTACATTAGAGAGTCTGCTCATGAGTCAGAGCTGGGGAGGTAAAATGTTTGGTTCGGGGGCCAAAATGAGGGTTGAAAATTTGACGGGTGGGCCAGTACAGTATTGGTTTGGATGTAGAATACTGGGATGAATAACAACAACTGAGACTGTAAATATCAGCCTGATGTACTGACTGTGTATTTATGATTGGGTAGCTTCATTGTAAACATGTATCACTGATATTTACATCTATCCATCACAGAATGTATTTTAACTGTACGCGTCTCGTCTCAATGTAAATCTATTCCAAGTCAGCCCCTGTTGGTTGGCACTGGTACTGCATCCAAAATGCATTCCTAAATGGCTTCACAGTCAGTCAGAGAAGTGCCTGCTGAGAGACAATGGCAGTTAAAGGAAATGAGAGCTCCGGAGTGTCAGCAACACTGTTTAAATTCAGTGCAAAAACAGGTTAAAGGCTGAATCAGAGAGAGAGAGACTGGAGGAATAAAAGTCACATGGAGGAAACCACGAAAAATTGATGTTGATGTTAGATTGTCCCACTGTTTCTCTTAGTGTCTCTGATCTTTGGAGGACAGATGGATGGATAGGTAGATAGATAACATGACAGGACTCTAAACATATCCCACGACCATTTATTGCCCCTTGTATAACAGAGGACTCTAAACATATCCTACAACCATTTATAGGATATGTTTAGGATGGAAGAATGCACCCTGGGATTTGTTTGCTCTGAGCCTCACATCATGGAGAGGGATATTTTTGAAAGATTGCCTTCTCCACAGTGATACAGCCTTTGTACAAACCAGGAGAGATGCTCAGTGTGAGGACTAAGATGAACACACACACTGGAGGGAAAGTACGAGGGTGCAAGAAGGTTACTGCCTAAAAACATGTGTGGATGCACAACTCCTGTATCATCTATTCTTCTGATGTGTTTGATATGACACCTTCAAAGGCATTACTAGCAGGCTGAGCCAGAGGGACAAGAACAAGGGAGCAGAAACACAGAGTACAGATGTGGAGATGGCTGATGGAGCGATACACAGAGGGTGAGAAAAAAGGTAGGAGTCAGAATTAAAGCTTACCAAGAAGGGAATACCTTCAACGTCTTCACTCCACCAGCTGATCAGAGGACGACAGACTTCCACAGACATCCAAAGCAGTTAAGGAGTGGGCGTGGACTGGTTTCTAGGAGACGTTTGTCCTCTTCTTCACAACGTTATTCCTGGAACAAATACAAAAGATGTTATTTGAAAGTAGGATGACCATCTCCAAAGTGACAACATGCAGGACAAGTACAATCGTCCCTCGCTGTATCGTTCGGCTATCGCATCCTCAGTGCATCGCGAGTTTTTTATATTTTAAATGTATTCTTGTATTTCGGATTCTTCACTCTATTGCTGGTGTTTGCACTACTTTTTTTTTATTTCCGTTATTTTTATTTTTTGGGATAAAATAAGCATTTCCTAGCCTAAGAAAAAAAAACAGTAAAAAAAATTAAATAAATACATAAATAAAGAAAAAAATAAATACATTTAAAAACATTTTGTAACACATACACACAGGGCATAGCAAGAAATAACCTGTACGTACGTGTGAAAGTTTCGTAATCTTCTTTGCCAAATTTCACGCCCTATGATGCCTCCTAAACGGTCCTTAAAGAGTTAATATATACTGTACGTAAATAATATTATAACTATTGCGTCTCTACTTCGCGGTTTTCCGTTTTTTATCGCGGGCGGTCTTGGACCGTTACCCACGCGACAGACGAGGGACCACTGTACCCCCACCGCCACTTACTGTAATTTGGTTTTCTGTTGTGTACTTGAGTAAGACTCACGTGCACCGTGTCGTTTCCCATCAGTCACCGCCATGTGCGACAGAAAAGCCGTTTTTACACCAATTCCAGAACGGTGGTTCAGCATCTCTGTCCATCCGTCTCAGTCAAAAGATGGCGTCGTCTTTTTTCGGCACACATGGGCGCCTTCACAGTGTCAAACAGCTGCGTGCTATACGCTTCCAGGTGCTAAATTAAGGTGTGTGATTGTTGTGTGATTGCTACGAGTCAGTCAGTTTGATTGACACACCCCTCAGCCTGTCAGGTACCGCTTTACCCACGAAGTAGCCTATCACTTCTATGGACTGCACTGATAGACTGCCCATAGACAGCCAGGTACATAAAATAGTTTATTTTAAAGTAATGGCGAATGAAAAAGTGGGACTTGTTTTTGGGTCATTCTTATGAAATCATTAGTACACCATGGCAATGCATTTAGCTATAAAATATGCATTTTAGTAAAATAACAAAACATAACAATAAATTATAATTTATAATTATAATTTATATACCGGCACTCTATATGAACCAAGGAGCACTACATTTTATTTACATTTTTTATATATAACTTTCTCATTACCGCAATGCGTGATTGAACAACATACATATTATTAATAAAAAATATCCTAGAAAATATAATGTACACTGTAATAGATGTTTTCAAGTGGCTAAAAAATTGAAAATTAAATTTATATGTTCAATAATATTAAAAAAAGAGGAAGAATGAAGCATTCATGACTCGTTTTTTTATATATAAATATAAATATTATTAAATAGACTTTAATAATATCTAGTAGTAAACATTTGTTTAGTCACCATTGCTTCTCTGTTGCTAGGAAAACTTGCTAATGTTCCTTATCCTCGGCAACACGGTTCTCTTTTACCGCAACAATTTTAGGCCAAGATTTCATGAGAATGAATTTTAATTTTGAGAATTTTATTTTGACGAATCACAATTAATCTTGATAATTCGTGATTAATTAAAATATTGTGAATAATTCAAATTAATTGTGATTAATCCAGACATTTCAACACATATCAACACCTAAGTATATTCTGTTAGCAACATAAATGGCTAAATAATTAGCTTAAGAATCAATTAACCATTGGATGTACTGTATTTTGACATCCTTGTGGTCAAGGAGTGAAGCGCGGCTCTCAGTAAACAACGATAGGGTCTTTGCGGCCCACAATTCCTGGCAGCATCCACACTTGCGATCTGTATTGAACCGTACGCACAAAGAGATATAGAGTGAGAATCAGATTTTAACAATTTTATTTCATAAACAATAAATAAACATGGTTCACATACACAGTAAGGATAGAAAATGAGTCAATGACAATAAATAATATACTGTGTGTTTTCATACGCTCCTTGAGTTTAAGCTTCAAAGTGTCAGAAATGCTAAAGATCAGATTGTTGATTGACGATTTGTGCTACATGTGAATGGAGGAGCTTCTTAAAACTGCACCGCCGAGGTGTCTAAGAATGACATAATGAGCGTCTGGCTTTCTCAAGGAATGAAGTAACTGTCCTTGATGATACACATACAGTAGAAGTAAAATACTCTCGGCAAAGTAAAATGAGCAAATAGTTGAATTTGAAGTCCCTTACACGTTCCTGCTACATTTTTCTTCTTCCTTAATATTAATTTTCATTTAAACACATCAAGGAAAGTCATTAGGTTCTTGCAGAAAAAAAGAAGAAAAAAAAACAAAGAAGAAATTGTTAATATACTGAAAATACAATGTTTGGTCCATGGTGTAAATAGAGCTACAAAAAGATTCACATTTCTCACCCATCTTGGAACAGGCCTGTGGGTAGTTTGTGTTATATGTTGGAAGACCTTCACCCTTGGGGCTAGACTATCGATAATCGTCTCTAAATATTGTGCAAGACACCATTTGTGCAAAGAATATGTGCTCCTCTACTATAAAAGTTCGATGTACTTTTCGTTTTTTCGTCTTGTAGTCAGCTCGAGTTTTAGAAAAAGAGTTTTCTCACACAATGACACAACACGACGACAACACAAAATATAGGACGCCCTTGTTGTCGACCAATTAGAAACGTCTTCTGTTAAGAGTACACCAAAAATGCACACGTCACAAAAAGCCATTCACATATTTTTTCAGACAGGAAAAAAAAAAAATTACTTCACAGGCCGTTATGGACCGCTATGTGCCGACTGTGCGAAGTTACAAAGAGAACACTGTGTCCCGGTGCCTTTTAAAGAGCAGATGTCAATTTTTTTTTTTTCTTTTCTGTACAGCGATCCGTCCTGTTACTTCTCCATCTCCGCGGTAATCTTCCGACTCACCGGGAAAGCTAAGCTTGGCGAAGCGTCAGCGAAGGATGGTGAAGAAGTGCCGCGGCTGGACAACGCTTCACTGTATGCTGTGCCTGAGACAAACTGTGCAAACACTACTGCTACTGTACAGTGAGTGCGATATTAGTCCAGAGGCTGAGTGTGTAATACAAACATTGGCCAGGCAGTGATTGACGACAGGACTTCAATGACCCAAAAAAAACAAAAAAAAACAAAAAAAAAAACCTGCGAATTTCAGATTTTGCTCCCAGTCTACGTGATCATTAAAAGTCCTTTCTTCGTCGGTCAGAGACAAAAACCCAACGAGCTCTGCTCCCCGAAACGATCAGTGATTGGCTACAAAACAAATAAACATTGAATCCCTTCCTCCACTTCTAGCCTGACACAAATCGCAGTAGTCTGTGTATCCGGAGGGCTTTTTTTCCCCCTATTTCTCTGCTGTATAAATCAGTTGTTATGAGGTAACCAAGGAGTAGATCATACTGCAAAAGAAGACAAGAAAAAGGGGAGAAGAGTGTGAGTGAGTGAGTCATCTAAGGGTAACAGAATACAATTCTGAAATATTTAAATAATCTAAGGCTTGTTCTTTGAACCTTATTAATCCAAATCTCTTTTTCAAACCCAAAATGTCTGACAGAAGAACCGTTAACTGCAATGAAAATGAAAACTTACCTCAAACTTTTTGATCATTCTGGTAACAAAGTATGGTTTTGTACCATCTACCCGTGAATGTATCGCATTAAAAGACCAGTCGGTCAAAGAACTTAAACAACAGTACATACAGCAACAATCCTTCCTGGCATGTCAGTACTGTTTTTTTTTTAATTTTTTAAAAAGACTGACTGCAAAATAAATAAAGCAGCGGCCGATGAGCATCATGTAATGCAATGAGCGTGTGCGAGAAAAAAAAACAAAGAAAAAAGACTGTTGGAACACATTGATTGCATTGCAAATTGCATGAATGAATAAAAATCTGTAAATGAAACAAATGGTTGATTAGCAATCCCATTACAGACCACAGCAGCAAAGAGCAGAGAGAAACAAGAGAATACGTTTAACTGAGCGGCGTGTTTGTTATAAACCAAGTCACCTCCGAGACGCCTTAAAGACACAGGGATAAATAAATAAATAAATAACACCCCACATATATATAAATATATATAAATATATATGTGGGGTTTTATTTAGGGGAGTAAGACACGGGTGGAGTTTAAAGGTCAAAGGTCACACCTAGAAACACACTCAGTTGGTCAGTCGGTGCCATCATTGTGACCAGTGTAAAATAGTTGAAATGCATACAGTGGGGGAAAAAAAACATGTACAAATCTGATGGATTTAGCATTAGCATTTGTTAGCATCGTTGCCCAGATGGACCGCTTGTGGGGTCATCCGCCCCAGACATGCTCCTCTGACCCAGTAGGAAGGATAAATCCCGTGTAGGCCAGCTGTCTGTGTGTGTGTGTGAGGACATGCACTGCTTCATTATAAGTGGGTATACAGTATTATATGTTTTTGAGAAAATTGTACGTGTGTCCGTGATTCTGTGAGTGATGTTGACTGTAGGGCGAAGACGCAGGTATTTCTTGGGGTGTGTTTGGTGAGGGATCAGTGCCAGGAAAGAGGGGGAAAAACAATAACACAGTCCTATAATGCAGGTTAGAAGTCTGTTAACTTCCAAAATTCAGTGTTTATATTCAGCGTGATTATCATATCTAAATAGGCTACTAGGCTATTTTACTAAAAGTCTTATAATAATAACAATAATAATATGAACATTTTTTACAAAAGCAGTTTTGAAGGCTTACAATATGCATTGCTCTTGTTTTTATTCTAAAGGAATCCAGGGCCTAAGTGGTAAACATACGGCCCGAGGACCAAAATCAGCCCACTAGGGAGTTTAAACTGGCCCGCTTGACACATTTTAAAAATGAAAAAAAATGAACAAAAACTTCATGTTTGTGGTGTTTTATCAACCGATATTTCATTAAATATGAATATCTTCTAATACAGTTGCACTTATTTGAATGAAAACAAAGGGGAACAAACATGGACTTATTGTTATTTACTGCTAATTATGTTATGATTGTACTGGTCCGGCCCACTTCTAATAAGCGGGTCGGACCTTATAACATCTAATAAGGTTGTATGTTGCCCCTAAATCAAAATGAGTGCTAAAATGCTTTTATCATTTTCTACGCCATCTATTGGAGAAATGTGGGTACTGAAAAAAAAAGGCAGAAGTATAATGATAATATAAATAATTTATACAATTTGTAAAAGTTTGGAGGGCCAGATTAAAAAGCTGAACGGGCCACATCCGGCCCCCGGGCCATATTTTTGCCCATGCCTGTTAAAAGAACAATCAAAGAAAGGACTATTTAACGAAAAGAAAAGTGCGACATTTCTCTTAGGTATAAATATAAGTCACACAGTGCTAAAGCTAAACTGCCCAACTAATGTACTGGTGCAGTCTTAGGTTCTGAATTTTTAAAAAGAGGAACGACTGAAGGAAGTGAATGAGACGTCAACCTGCTTTATAGAGACAGCACAGTATACCTCACACCAGCTGCTGTCAGCCCACTTTAGAACACCAGATCAATCCAACAAGAGCTAGAGCAGGAAAGGATGGAGCGAGATGGAGAAGCACACAGTTAATATCACGATCACGAATGCTCTGTTTGTTGCTATAGACATCCTGTTTCTCAGACAAACAAACAAACAAACAACAACAACAACCCACTGTATAGTACTTTTTAAAAAGAACAAATGTAGTTCCCATACAATACTGTCACCATTTTAAGCCATATAAATATATCTTGGTCAGTGTGTTACCATAACAGTGTTATAATACTACATAGGTAAACCTTCAAAATAAAATCAGCTTTTTAAATGTGAATATTTTGCAGTCAGTTTGGACTTGCAAAACAAACCTCAATGTTTTATAGTTTAGGGAAAATAAGGTATTTCAAGATTAGGATTTTCTTTTTTTCTGTTATTTTAACAAGTTGAAGTGGAAAATATTAAGGATAAATTATTAAACAAACAGCAGTTCCTTCTTTTGAACAACACCTTCTGTTTATTTTTGCTTTATTTTTAACCCAATGAACTATTCTGCATAGTTTCTTTAACATTTAGTAAATAAGAATAAGAAGCCAGAACTCAACCACAGCTTCCGAGTATCATGGATTCAAACTGATCAGTATCAAATGACCCAGGTGGTCAGTTCCTGTCAACCATGATGTGAATGGATGGAATGGAAGCATAAATCAGCAAAGCATAAACCTGTTCCCTTCCGTTTTCTGTATCTCATGCCAGGAGGGAGCACGCTGTAGACCAGATGTTTAGAACCACAGCAGATAAACACTGCAGTTAAAACACCGGGACATGGTAGAAACACAAATGGTCACAGTTTGTTTCTTACTTTTACCTACTTGTGTAACGTTGTTGGGATAAACACCTGTGGCCTAACTAATCACGCAACTGTAGAGAGAACCAGGTCGCATGTGTCTAAAATGTTTAATTACACATATGAGAGCTCTACAGGAAACTCAAGCTATCCAGCTAGCGCGTCAGGATGACGAAAGTCAAGCCCCGGGACCAACTGCTCAGTTTTTGGTGAAAATAAAGTCAAGCCCCGGGACCAACTGCTCACTTTTTGGTGAAAATCTTGACAGGACTTGCTAGCAGGATAGGAAATTACAGTATGTTTTTAAGAAAAATGTTATGATATAAAGTATTATTTAAAGTAGGGGTCTTGAATGGATCACTTGCAAGCTACCATATTGTTTCCCAAAGACTGGGTCGCGACCGTCAGGTGGATCGCACGAGATTACTACTAGCTACCAGTAGCTCTCTACCCCGTTTCCAAGTAGCTCGGGGGAAAATGAGTCAAATAAACATTCGAAAACATAATTGGTCGCTCAGTTAGTCTGCTTAAATTTTTATCCAATCAAAATGAACAGTTGGCCCACCTTCCCGCCCCTTCCAAAACAAAATGTTCATTTGCCATTATGCTATCAATCAAAACTTGCACTGCTTTCAACACGGAACAGTCATTTCAGGAACAATATTAGCGATAACACCAAAAATACTAAGACATGACTCCAACAAGTTAGGTTATTTATATTTTGTCACTTTGTCACACCCTCAACACACCCCAGTAATGTATTATATTTTGTCACTTTGTCACACCCTCCACACACCCCAGTAACATAAAATAGAACTGATCCATTCATGTTACATGACAACTGACCAGAAGAGGGCAGTAACTCCATGTGTCCCTTAATGGTAGCAATAAAACTATTTAGGTGACATTGCGTCAAAATAAAGTAATTTTTGTTAATGGTAGCAATTAAACTATTTAGGTGACACTGCGTCAAAATAAAGTAATTTTTTATTTGTTATGACTAATATGATACAAAAATACATTTTAAAGTTATTAAATGGCCAGTTTTGGTCACTCAAAGTATCGATACTGGCACCCAAAATAAAAGTAATTGGTGTTGTATCGAATCAAAAATTCAAAAAAAAATTTTTTTTTTTGCCACTTACTACCATACAGTAGTACTCTTTAACACAATGAAGCTCTTTCTCAACCACTATCTTAGCATACAACAAAACAAAAACAAATGTGAGGATTGTACCTTTAAGTGTTTCCATTGATAAGACATATTAGAGGGATATTTCCAGGTTCCACACACTGCAGCACCCACATGACATGGAACGGGAATCCGGCGTGATTAATGAGAGCATTATTAGACATTAAGTGCATTTTCATCATGTAAAAAAAGAAGAACATTATTTGAAAGTAAAAAAAAAACACACACACTGGTACACGTCAGACACATGGTACGCATAATTTACACGTAGCCCTTTTAAAGACGCAGTAACGCTATCCTCCTCACACCGGCGTTCTAGCGGTGCTTGTCAATGAAGTAAAGAATCACATTCTCATAACATCACATGCATTAGCACTAGCTAACCCTAACGACTAGCCTAACGTACGTTTAGCACAGGAGGGAACTTGCATGTGATTGCCAGAGAAATGGTTACTTTATTCAGTGATTTGCACTCACATGGCAACATGTGAAAACTGCAAAGATAAAAAATCAAGTTAAGGGAAAAAACAGGATTAAATATTTAACAGTTTTTTTTTTTTTTTAAGTTTTCTATTTTTATTATTTTTACCATGTTCCCCCTGACATTTCTTTTATCATTCTCAAAAAGTAGCATCAGATAAAGTTAACATAAAATGAACTACCATATTTTCCGGGGGGTGTGCGGGCCCGACCCCCCAGCCGCTAGAGTACCCTCTAATGGCTGTCCGTCTGAAAATAACGAACATGAAAATTTTCAGTGGTTAGGAATGAGCAGATATTGGTACACAAGCCTAGAGTGCCCTCTAGTGGCTCTCAGTGTGAAAATAACAAATGTGAAATTATATATTTTAAGCCGCACCTGAGTATAAGTCGCAAACCCAGCTGAAGGATGAAAAAAAGTGCGACTTATAATCCGGAAAATACGGTAATTTTAATCAGATTAAATGTAATTATTTTACATGTAATCTAATCGTATTCCTCACAATGTGTCTTATACTTACCAGTAGAGATAGTAGAAGAAGGAGAGGACAAAGAAGGAAAGCTTGCACCACGCCTCCTTCAGACAGAACTTGAGCGTGTCCCCGTTCATCACAGATGCCGGGTCGTACAGGAGCTCCTTGGTGTCAGTGGGGGAATGAAAGTACCTGCCGCAGAGGGCAAAGACCACAAAGTGGGTAGTTGACCCGTTCCAGGGGGGGCCGCAGGCAGGTAGGGAAAAAAAATAGTTGGAGAAGGAGAGTGGAATCGAAAAAAAAAAAAGGTGGATTGATGAGTAAGGTTATCATGCAGCAGGGATGGTAAAAAGGACGGGGGGGGAAATAATCTTTTTATCCTGACTGTCAAGCTTTGTTTTTCGTTTGTTGTTAGAAATTCAGTGTTTTTTAGGTAAATAAATTCTGTACTTGTCCCAAGAAAATGACATTTTAATAACACAGTTGTGATGCATTGTTCAAACATTGTTGTATTTCCACATAAAATATATATACAGCTCTTAGGCAGTGGTACCAGGCTGTGGATCATTGGCCAAAAAGGAAAAATCTATTACATTATTATTTGTATTTTATCAATTCTAAGGGTAAAATATAGAAAAAAATTGGGAGAAAAATCTTTTTTTTTTGACAGATTTTGCCAATACAATTGTCAAAATTAAAATCCTTCGAGACCATCTTTAAAAAGAAAAAAAACAACATTTTTCTAGTCTAAATTGAAAGCTTGACAGATGACCAAATATGAAAGGTACAGGATAAAAGTCCAGTTGAGGTGTATGCATCTTGATGGGATAGTGACGCACTCTTTAGCTTATGGGTAAAAAAAAAAAAAAGTAACAGTCTGATTCTAACAAACAAAACAAAATGTTTTAAATTTTAGGAAATATATATATATATACACACATATATATATAGTATACACCATGGATTATAGTACTATAATCCATGGTGTATACTATATATATATATGTATATATATATATATAAAAATATATACATATATATATATAGTATACACCATGGATTATAGTACTTTAATATCTGTAGATGAACTCATTATTTAATAGAATTTCTTTCATTTTAGAGTTGGCCTTTTTAACTGCTGTTGGCTGCTGAGGAACAGAGAAAATCAATCAAGAGAAAAATCCATATTTGAGGACAAGATTATCTCTTTCCCATTNNNNCTTTTTAAAACAGAAAAAAAAAACGTCCCCGCTCACAGAAAAGTTATCTTTTACTGGTGAAGGAACAATATTTGGATATCTAGAGACAAATTTGACAGTAAAAACTGAAGATCGGTAATTAATCCTGCATGTGCCGTATCACCGAGACTTAGTTTTTCTACGTTTTCGACTTTTAGGAGTACTGCACAAGTCAGCCAGTTCAGGCAGGACAGAGGCTATTAGCTGGGACGGGGGCCTAAAAAACCTTATTTAAATTCATACTTCAAATTATACTATAAAATATACATACTTAAATCAATTTTAAATGCCACAGCCGGCAGGAAAATGTTTGACAGCGTTGAGAATAAATCGTTGGTTTTCTTTTACTTTCAATGCTTGAAAAATGCATCAAAAGTGAATACATGGAGGAAATGTATGCAGCGGCCAAAATACTTTTTCTGTATAATATTTTTTCTCTCGGTGAATATGATTCATGCATGTGTGGGAAAAAAAAAAAAAAAAACGTATGATGAATCACCACACGTTATTTTATTTTATTATTAAATTCTACATAGTTCCATTGTTCACATGCATGGGGGTGACTTGAGGGTGAGTTTCGATAAAAATACCCGGCACATACAACTGAAACTGAGCTGGTAAACACGCCGTTCATCGGCTAAGTGACTATGTTAAGCAACAGCAACGGGGAAATTAAATTTCACACATCAAATGCGTTCACGTTAATACAAATATGCACACTGGCACGACCCCGGTGTGGACACTTCTGGACACTAGGGGTCTCTGTCATCACAACATACACAGAACGTACACACACCTACACACTGTATTAATGATTAGGGATGTACGATACGAAATTTCTGCTGATAGCTGATATGCCGATATTGTCCAAACGCTAGATTTTTCGATTGCGATATTAACCGATACATGTAGCCATTTGGGTTAAAGACAGGACAGATTTCACTGAGTCACAACGACAATAATTCACTTTCACTTTAAAACTATTTTTAGGTCACATCATCTGGCTGAAACGCAGGCATTGTTACCGGGAAAAAAGCGATAACGATATCGATATTACATAATTAGGCTAATATCGGCCTATTATATCAGCTGGACGATATTATTGGTCATCCTTATTAATGATTCAAACCAACCAAAGCATTTTAAGGAACCTGCGATCATTGCTTTTTTGGAACATCTCCATTTTAACATATTTCAGACCATACGTGTTTTTAATAAACAACGAACAAAAGACTTTTAGCAAATATATTAGCACACACTTTTACCTCGATTAATCGAGATATCGTGATTTGTCGTGATTAGAGATGAATTGGATTAAA